TATGGGGAAGTATGGCGCTTGGTTTGGTTGCGCTCATGTGTGCATCTCTATACAATATGTATGTATACCGAGATGATACGATCGTCCGCTTGTAGCTTTAATACCGCAATTACGCTGTATCTAATTATTACATGTGTGTCTCTGTGTGTTACAGATCAGACAAGAGAAGCCGTACTACATTGCGGATCCGGAGGTAGACTCGCTGGTAAGTATTTTCTTATTTATTTTTCTGTGTGTAAGCAAGACATCCGTTACATCTTTCGATATCGCAACGCATCCGCGAGCGCGTAATATCATTCGACGTTCGGCGCGATTAGACGGTCCCAAAACCCGCTCGTTTCTTCATCTTGAAGATCACTGTAAAACTCGTGCGCGAATTTAAAGCGCGAGAGATCACGAAATCAAGCTCGTTTGTTTCACCGAGACATCGGCGATTAATTACGAGGGCAATTAAACAAGAGAGGATAGTTGGAAATGAGCGGACCACGAGACTGCGTTATCCGATTTAGCGCTGTATGCGTATAAATAGCGAGAAGTTTCGTGATCGCGTTTTGTCTTCCCTGATGGTTCCGACGCACGTATAATCGCTCAATTTCATCGGGCGATCGCCCGCCGAGATACCCAAATACGGTCGGCCGACTTCAACGACGAAATAACGAGCCAGGAAGTAAGGTTACGACGCGCGAGTCGACGCCACGGTTCCACACTTTTTTCTCCCAGCGAGCGGAATAATTAACGGAATAGTGTTATCGCTGTGCGTTTCCATCCGTCGTTATTCCGGTCGGAACGTGGATTCGGAGTTTCACGAGGGCGGATACATATATTATATGATATCTGGATAAAGCGGCATGTCCCACTGAGAACAAAATATTATGCTGCACTCCTCTGTTTTCTAATTTTCTAAATACGGTTCAAATTATCTGCAATGGCCATAAATCCTTTTTTTTTTTTTATTAATAGCTTTAAATAAAAAAATAAGTGTGTAATTTTATTATTAGCTAAATAAATGTCTATGTATTATGTATTATGGTAAGTAGCGTGACGAGTCTATCTATCGGATAGATATATAGTGCTAAGGTCAATGACACTTTTTTAGGCGCAATTTAATGACGCGGTAATTAGAAATCTAAATAGCATGCAGGCAATGTAATTATGTGGTATTGTT